AGTGATGGGGGCATGCAGGTATGGGGCGCAGGGGCCAGTGATGGGGGCATGCAGGTACGGGGTGCAGGGGCCAATGATGGGGGCACACAGGTACGGGGGGCTAGAGCCAGTGATGGGGGTATGCAGGTACGGGAGGCTGGAGCCAGTGATGGGGGCATGCAGGTACGGGGCGCAGGGGCCAGTGATGGGGGCATGCAGGTACGGGGGGCTGGAGCCAGTGATGGAGGCATGCAGGTACGGGAGGCTGGAGCCAGTGATGGGGGCATGCAGGTACGGGGCACAGGGGCCAATGATGGGGGCACACAGGTACGGGGGGCTGGAGCCAGTGATGGAGGCATGCAGGTATGGGGAGCAGGGGCCAGTGATGGGGGCACACAGGTACAAGTGGTCCCCAAGGCCCAGGTGTGCCCCCATCAGCTCTGCTAACAGGTCTCACCCAGCTCACTTTTTCACCATCTGCGTGGTTTCATATCCGATGTGAACACAGTGGAAGAGGGGCAGAAATGACTAAGTGGTCTTTACGGGTTCACGCACTCATTCAGCAGCTACATCTACAATGTCTGTGTTACGTTTGTGGAGTTATGGTGGTGCAGTGGTTAAGCAGTGAAGCGCTAACTGGAAGGTCAGTGGTTTGAACCCACCAGCTACTCCTTGGAGAGAGAGGATCCGTCCACTTCAGTGAAGACATGCGGCCTTGGGAGCTGAGGGCGGGGGCAGTTCCAGCCTGGCATGCAGAGTGGCTGTGCTTCCAGGCTCAGCGGCGACAGGCCTGGGCTGGGTTTGGTTTTGGGGATCTTGTGTGGAACGTAATCTAGACAGTTAGGATTACAGCCACACCAACCCACCCAGGGTTAATCCACATTTCCTGCAAGCAGGTCAATACTGATGCATTTTTAGAAACAACCAAACCAGCGTACGGCTGTCGAATCAGTCCCAGCTCCTGGTGACCGCCATCACCTTCCCAGGCCTCTCAGTCTGTACTGGTGGTGGCTACCTCATCTGTTCTCCCCTCAAAGGGCCGGTCAATTCCGAACCCCAAGCATCAGCATGGAGCACACTGTACCATTGCTCACTCATTGCCGTGGAGTGAGAGCCAACGCGGAGCTCACCCTTCAGCAGGTGTTCAGAGACTGTAAAGAGACTGCCCACCTTTCTTCCAAGGAAGAGCTAGTGGGTTCAAACCACCTGACTTTGGGTTGACTGCGCAGCTCCTTACCCGCTGGGCCACCTGGTGGTAGTGCACCATAAGCACTGGTGAGAGCCCTAGTACTCTAAGTAGAGATGTAAGGATGCATCTGAGCGTGGAGTAGCACTAACTGAAGGCCAGGGATATGAACGCAGGAGAAAAGGCCTGGTGGTTGGCTCCAGAAAGGGTCACAGCTAGAAAACTTGTCGGGCAGGTCTGTTCTGGCGTGTGGGCTGCTGGGCACAATGGGGTAACAGTCCCTACCCTGGGGTTCTCCTGAGAGTCCGGCAAGCCCTGCCCCTCACTGTCCTGTCTCTGGGCTCTGGCGCTGGCATGGGCACATCAAGGGGGTGACTGAGAGCTGGTCTCCCATGAGCAGGGCTGTGACATGCGAGGCATGGGCTCGTGCCAGCCTCTCTCTGCCCTGCCCTCTGAGGGCCCAGACCTCTCTCTGAGTGCTCTGGGGACCCCCTTGGCAACTTTGCCCAGAGCAGTGGGCACGCTGGCCAGAGTTATCTGTCCACACACTGCAGGACTGTAGCCTCGGACGCTCACCTGTTGTGTGTCCTCGGCTCTGTGCAGCCCCCAGCACAGCGTCCACTTGCCCACCACACCTCGCCTCTCCTGCTGGCTTCTGCCCAGGGCTGTGCTGCACAGCATGCTACAAGGCAGAGGTGGCCACCAGCACCTGCCCAGTGTGGCCTGTGGTAGCCATGTCCTGTCATCTCTGCATGGCTGCAGGGCATCGTGCACACAGCGGTCACCCCCATCCTCGTGGCTCCGCTCCCCCAGCTGGCGAAGGGCAGGCGCTGCCTGATCTTCCTCTTCAGTGTGGTGACGTGTGTCTGGGCCCCATTTGATTTCTATCTGTCTTCCTCTGCCCCCTCCCTCTTTCAGCTACAGAGAGCCAAGTCTCCCATCAGCCTGAAGCGAGCGTCAGACGGTCAAGGTTAGTGGGACGACCGAGGTCCCTCCATCCATCTGTCTCCCCCCTGCAGGCACCAGCCGTGCCAGGTGAACCCCGGGCAGGCCTGGGGAGCCTGGGCTGGCAGGCGTCCACTTGGGCGGTCATTGGTGTCAACCTGGTAGTTCTCTGGGCCAGAGTGAGGGTGTAGAATGGGCCCCTGCAGAAAATAGGGGGCCTGTAACCCCATCGGGGACACTGCTGTCCTGCCTTTTAGAAGGTATCCGGGATGTCAGACTTTGGGGGGATGGAGAGGAAAGGAGAGGGTGTCCCAGACCTCTTCACATCATACCTTTTCCAGCAGCTGGGGGGCCAGGAGTCTAAAAGGGTATGACCCTTCATGGTGGAGGCCGTGCGTGTGTGTGTGTGTGTGTGTGTGTGTGTCCCATATGTGTGTGCAGTTTGCTTGTGTACACAAATGTGTTTGTGAGTGCATGCATGTGCATGTGCATGTGTGCCCGTGCATCTGTAGGTGTGCATTGTATGTGCACATGGCAAGGTCAGGACACAGGAGTGAGGTCATTCCTCAGCAGGGGCCACTCTAACAGTGTACCCTCCGCCCCTCAGGGGCCTTGGGGGCAGGCGCCTCTCCTGGGGAGGTCATGCATGTTGGCCTGAACATGGCCCCAGGGCCTCCTGACCACATTTGTTCTGAGTGTGAAGATACTGGGGGTCCACACCCTCTCCTCCTGATGACCGGCTTCCCCCAGGGACCTTCGCACAATTCTGCCCCTGATGGTGGGGAGGGAGGGAACAGAGATAGTCCTAGGGCTCCTTCCCCAGGGGAGGACAGAGCAGGCAGGCCAGGGAACATGTCAGTGAGACAGCCAGTCACAGAAGCCCCCTGAGCCCTGCCCCTCCCGTCTCCCCTCCTTTCCTCCCCTCTGCTCTCCCCTCCCCGTGCCTTTCCTCTCCTGTCTCCCCTCCCTTCTCCTTTCCCCCTCCTCCCCTCTCCCCTCCCCATGCCTCTCTTCTCCCCTCACTTCTCCTCTCCTCTCCCCTCCCCTCTCCTCTCCTCCCAAAGCAGGCCGAGGTCAGGAGGACGAAGATCCGGACGCCAGCCCCTGCTCTTCCAGCTCCCTGCCCCCCAGCAGCACCTTCACCAAGATGGTAAGGTGTTTGGACCACTCCACCACCTCCTGCCACCTCTATAGCCTGGCCCTGGGTCCCCAGAGCCCTTCACACCTCCTACCAAGGGCCTAGGTTCCCAGACCTTTCAGGCCAGGCCACAGCCACCTACAATCACAGCTCTGCCTGCCTCACTGTTTATTTAAAGCTGCTCCACTTTAAATTATTTCATTATTTACACCTTCCCACCCCCTCTTTCCCCAATTTAACTCGCTGGGAGAAGACATGTTCTCAGAGCTTGCTGGTTGAGGGGCCAGTGTGCAGCTTATTGGCCTAGGGGGAAGTTGACACTGCCAGCCGGGTACAGACTGCAGGCTGATCATATCAAGGCCCTCCCGACCACCCACTCCGCTCAGCCCACCCGGCAGAGCCCTGCAGGGTCCCCCAGGCAAGCCCACCCCACCGCCTGGCTTCCCAGCCAGGCACCCTGAGCAGAATTGAAATTCCAGGCCCGAGGGGAGCCTCAGGGCACTTGTCAGCTCAGCTTCTCACCCAAGGGGGTCAGGATAGGGAGGGGCGGGCTGGTGGGGAGATTTCCCAGTGAAGGATTTGGGCTCAGGGAGAAGCCTTGGCCAGCACTGTGCAAGTCCCCGCTGTCCAGTCTCACCCAGAGCAGGGTCCCTGGGCTGCCCAGGGCAGCCCCACCCGCCCTCTGAGCTGGCAGTTGCTGCTCGTTGTCCACAGCCCCCCATGCATCAAAAGGATGTACAAGCAGATGCAGTGTCCCCACGGCCACCGCCCCAGGCCAAGCGCCATCATCTCAGGCCAAGGTCATGGCCACAGCAGCAGGCTACAGCTTTCCCATCCTGGGCAGGAGGCAGAAGCTAGCAGTTAAATATAGCCCGTGTGTGAGGTGTTGAGCCCGCGGGGGCACCAGCGGCATCTAAACCCACACGTCCCGAACCCTGTGTTTCCAAAGCCACCCCACCGGAACCGCAACAGCATCATGTCCATCACTGCCGAGCCCCCTGGGAACGACTCCATCGTCAGGCGCTACAAAGAAGACGCACCCCATCGCAGGTGGGTGTTGGGGCAGGCAGAGGGAGGGGGACAGCTGCACACCGGGGCTCATCACACTGAGGGGGGTGGGAGGGGATCCATCTTACAGATGCAGAAGCTGAGGCTCAGGGAAGCGAGGTGACAAGAGGCCACCCAGCCAACTGGCAGGCAGTGAAACTTCTCCCTCTGCCCCACACTGCCAAAACCACATTCCTCAGGCCAGTGGAGCCCAGGGGGCTTGGATCCAGAAATGTCCCCAGTGAGCCCAGTGAGGGAGACCATAATACAGTACCCCACCCCCCGCCCCCAGCCTCCAGATGCTTCCAATCAGGCAGAGGGTCAATGTGTCCTCTCTCTCTCTCTCTCTCTCTCTCTCTCTCACACACACACACACACACACACACACACACACACACACTCACGTGCAGGTGCAGGCACACACGCCCCATCTCCCTCTGTCTTGCAGCACAGTTGAAGAAGACAATGACAGTGGGGGGTTTGATGTCCTGGACCTTGATGGTACGTACCTGCCTCCACTTCCTGGGGTGACTGTAACCAAGCACCCCCACACCAGCTGGCTTCCAACAGCACACAGGTTGTGTTCATGGCCCTGGAGGCTGAGACCAGGAGGGTGTAAGGACCTCCTCTGAGACTGAGTGGGCTGTCCCGCCTCCACCTGCTTCGGGGGCAGGCTCCCTCGCCCTGAGGGCACCTTGCTTTCCTCCTGAGCCTGCTTCACTTCCATCTGTCTAATATCATCTCCTCCCCACTGTCCACTCTTCCCAAGACAGGGGTCTTGCAGGGCCCACTTGCTCCAGTATGACCTCGTGTTAACCCTATTTCCAAACAAAGTCACATTTGCAGTCATGGAGCTAGGATCTCGACCTACATCATGGGGGCCAAGACTCAGTCCATCAATGTCCACCCTCTGCCCCAGGGCTAGAGGTGCCAGGTGCAGGGCTGTCCAGTCTCCGAATGTCCCAGAGCCGGACTGCAGTGGGGCCTGAGCCTGCTGTGTGGAAGGTTCGACTCCTGACCCTGCAGCTTCAGGTCCCACCAACACGCCAGTGCAGTGAGGGTGCAGCAGCCCGAGGAAGAAGTGAAACAGCGTGCAAATGACTGCGACGCCACAGCCCCACGGTGCACCCATGCTGTGGGGAGGTGGCACCGACGGGCTTCTCGGTGCAGGGTTGGCACGAACCTCCCAGCGTTAATAGTGGGGTGTCTGCAGAGCACAGTAGGAGGAGCCCGGGTGGGAGGGGGGAATCCAGCAGCCGTGAATGTGTGGTGCCTGCCGGCTTCACCCTGACGAGAGCTGCAGCACAGCTGGACCATGACCGTGGCGGTGACCATTCACTTTGTCCGAGCTCATCAGAGGAACCTTCCGGCAGACCTGGGCCTGGGTGGTCAGCTCAGCAGAGACAGCCTATGCCATGCAGCCTTGGGGCCACGATGGAGGGTCCTCAGGCGTGGAGCCTCCTGATGTCAATGGACTTCATTTGCTGGGTTGTCACTCACTGTAGGTCCGTACTGTTTGCATTTGACTGTTAATCTAAAGATTGGTAGTTCATCCACCCCCGAGGAACCTTAGAAGAAAAGCCTGGCGGTCTTTCCCCCAAAAGTCACCGCCTTGAATCCAGCCTCCACCCCATCCCAGTGCAGTCCTCTATGTGCTGGTGGTCACCAGGAACCAGCATCATTGCAACAGCAGGATTTGGTTGGTTTTAAACCATATGTAGTTGACCCTGTGATTTTGTTGTTGTTGTGTGGCCTCGAGTTGGAACTGATGCATAGCTGACCCTCCAGTGGATTTTCAGAGACAGGAAGAGAACGCCCATCTTTCTTCCACAGAGCGGCTGGTGGAGTCGAACCGCATGCCTTTGGATTAGCACTGCGGCTCCTTACCACTAGGCCTCCAGTCATGTAAACCCACAGCTGCCTAGTCGATTCCAGCTTCCCAATGCAGAAATGCTCCCATTCAACAGGTGCAAACAGTCTTAGCGAGGCGAAGTGACAGGTCAGCCTAATTAGAGGCGGCGAAATAGCCCACAGCTGCAGAGAAATGGGTTGTGAGAATGAGAGGGAAGAGACAGACCAGCATCCAGTGGGCTTGGGAGCTGTCCAGCATCCACTGAGGATGGAGTTGTGATAGTGATGCTGGTAGCCAATCATCCCACGGAGGACATGGCCAGGCCATGGTCATGGAAGGGATGCTCGACCCAGAACAGACAGACAGTGAAGGCCTGATCTCACGCACCAGCTCCCAGCCAGAGAGTGCAGGCAGCTGACTCCCCTGCCCCGCAGGCAGAAGTCCACTCTGCTCAGCCACACAGGCGCCCCACCACCTACCTGGCTTGTACCAGGAGCACAGGTGACATAAAGGGTCATATTAGGTCAACCTCTTATTCAGGAAGTTCTCTTTGGAAAGGTACCATGCAGGGGGTAGGGGTGGGCTAAGGGGACAGGAAAGGTTAGCACACCCAATGCTGCAGGCCATCCCCATGTTCTTATCTTCATGGGGCCTTAGAGCTGTGAGGAGATCAGGTATGCTTGTGGGAGCCCAAGCTCCGGCCACTCTGGAGTAGTGCCCTGGACCATCACCCAGGACCACCTCCCTGAATACCACAACCCAGGACCCCTGCCCAGAACCACCACCTTGGACCATCACTAGCTAGGGAACTGCAGAGAGGGTGTGGGAGCAGGCAGCTCAGCTGGGGGTTCAAACTGCCAACCTTTGTTTAGTAACTGAAGACTTAACTCCTACCCACCTTGCCTCCTTCAAGGAAAAGCTGGCCACAGGCAACAGAAAGCTTTTCCCCAGGAACAAAACAAGGGCGGGATAATGGGGTCCTGGAAAACTAGGAGGGCGCCAGTGTGAAGGGTAATACAGTGCTGAAGCCCACCCTAGAGCGGCCTCCCACCCCACGATGGCCTCCCACCCCAGGCCCACGGAGCCCCTGAGTCTCAGCTTTCAGTGGAATCCCCCTAGACCTCCACACACAGGGACCCCTGAGGCAGGCAGGACGGCCACGAGTGTCTGGACCAACCTCACTCAGCCACCCTAACCTACTGGGCCCAAGCGCCCCTCCTCCCAGTCACCTACCGTGTCCACCCTGCATGCCCAGCTCCTGCTGCTGCGCCTGGACCCACATGCCAGTCTCCCACCCTCACCACATGAGACCCTGAGCCTGCTGGTTCCATTGCAGATGACGGTCATGACCGCTACTCCTTCGGACCCCCGTCCATCCACTCCTCCTCCTCCTCCCACCAATCTGAGGGCCTGGACGTCTACGACCTGGAGCAGGTCACCCTCATGTTCCGGAAGTTCTCTCTGGAAAGGTACCATACAGGGGGTGGGGACAGCAGAGATTGACATCCCCAATGCACTAGGCCACCCCGTGGTCTGGGAGTTCCCTCTGAAAGTTGCCATACCCGGAGGCTGGGGAGCTGGACTTGAGGACAGAAAATGGCCCTTATGGGACCATCCCACCCATTAGTGACCCCTGAAGCCTAGGTTCTGAAGGTCAGAAGTCACATCCTCCACCCTGGCTACAGGTAAAGGGACAGGGACCAGACAGGGGCTGTCCTGGCCACCAGCACAAGAGCGGTTCATCACAGCCCCGGGTGCAGCAGGCAAGGGGCAGGCTCTGTTCTCATCAGGCCCTTTAGAGCAGAGCCAGGCGAGCACCAGGGACTGGACTGTGGGGCAGCTGCTACACAATCACACCCCACACCCGACCCACCAGGCCCCCAACAAAGGTCTCCACCCATCACCACACCCCACACCTGACCCACAGCTGTCCTCCAAGTATCACCCCAGCTCTGGCCAGTGCTGACCCCTACACTCCCAGTGCTTTTCCTGGGGAGGGGGTCTAAATGTCTTGTCTCCCACCAGGCCCTTCCGCCCATCAGTCACATCTGGGGGTCACTTGCGGGGCCCAGGGCCAGCAGTGCAGCAGGCCACGCTCAGCGGGGACGGCCTCACTACCCAGCTCACCCTGCTGGGAGGCAACGCACGAGGCAGCTTCGTCCACTCTGTCAAGCCAGGCTCCCTGGCTGAGAAGGCCGGCCTGCGAGAGGGCCACCAACTGCTGCTGGTGAGGATGTGAGGCTATGGAAGATAAGGGCTGAAAGGGGGCTAGGGCCAGGGCAGCACAAGGGGGCAGGGGAGCCGTCAGTCCAATGGCTGCCAAGCTGCTGCTGTTGGTGACAGGCCCATGGGTGCCGTGTGTGCTGCTTGGGCAGGGGCTCTGCCAGGTGCCAGGACCATCCCCTCTGCACGTCCATCGCTAGCTGAGGGGGCCTGGCCCAAGCGTCGCCCTGTGCTCTAGAGCTGGCCACTCCTCATGTGCAGCGGTCCTCACTGGGCCTTTCCTTCTGCAGCTTCTCACTGGTTTCTGGAGCCAGCTCCCACGTGCGTATGTGTGCATGTGTGTTAGAACATGTCGCACACACTGCCCATGCGTGCTCTCAGGAGGTGTGTGTGTATGTGAGTATGCATGCATGAATACATGTGTGTTAGAGCATGTCACACACCGCGTGCTCTCAGGTGTGTGTATGTGCATGTGTGTTAGAACATGTCACACACACCGCGTGCTCTCAGGTGTGTGTATGTGCATGTGTGTTAGAACATGTCACACACCCCATGTGTGCTCTCAGGGGGTGTGTGTATGTGCATGCGTGTTAGAACATGTCACACATCCCACATGTGCTCTCAGGAGGTGTGTGCACTGCCAGCACATGTGCCGGTGCACACAGCCGCTTCCAGCAAGCGCGTGAGCCCATGCCGGGCCGTGGTGCTGAGAGACATGCAGGCGCCCCGCGCCCGTGTCAGCAGCCTGTTCTCAGGCCTCTCAGAGCCTCCGGCCCTCAGTCCTCTGTCGGGGAGCCGCGTGACCCGTGCTGTCTGCCCACCAGCTGGAAGGCTGCATCAGAGGTGAGCGGCAGAGTGTGCCCCTGGACTCCTGCACCAAGGAGGAGGCCCACTGGACCATCCAGCGATGCAGCGGCCCTGTCACCCTGCACTACAAGGTCAACCAGGAAGGTAAGCCTGGGGCCTGTCAGCCCGACCCCCTCCACAGACCCCCTCTCGCGTGAGTAGAGTCAGCCCTCTCACAGGATCCACAGGAGGGTCTGGTGGGCAACCGAGAGAACAGGGAGGGACTGTTCCAGTGGCACAAATGGCTCACACATCCAGCTGCTAATCCACAGGTTGGAGGTTCAGGTCCACCCAGCAGTGCCTCAGAGAAAGGCCTGGAGAGCTGCTTCGGGAAGATTGCAGCCCCTGAGCCGTCCACCCCACAACAGATCCAGTTACCTGTCAAAGTGGGGGCTGCGGGTCCACCCAGGTCTCCCCTGCACACCGGCTGCACCGCGGTCCCATGGGCTCAAACAGGAACTGTGTGCCCAGCCACAAGCAGGAGACCCTCTTCTCCTAAGTGGAAGCTGGCTTACAGCACCGGACAGCAGGCCCACCTCTCAAGCATCTTAACAGCATGGCCGCTCCGGCAGAGGGAGCCTTGATCCCCTCCCAGGCCGTGGCCTCTGAGGCAGGCTGCGCTCCTCTGTGCTGCCACCCAGGGTCTCGTTAACCATGTGGACCCCTTCCTGCGATTTCCATTTGCAGGAGCTGAGTTCCCATTCTCACCTCTGGGCTTGTCCGTCTGAGCCTCTCCACAGCTGGCTCTTATTTTTAACCAGCAGGGCTCATGAATGTTTCAGCAGAGCATAAATAGCCCGTTTCTCTCCTGCTGGCCTCGGAGCCGCCAGCCCACTCCCTCTCCAGCAGCAGGACAGACTGAACGCACTCAGAATCTAGTGGGGCCACGTCAGTTCCAAACACAGTGCCTGCGGCACAGGGAGAGCTGGCCCGGAGTTTAGTGGAAGGGGCCACGCTGCTGTCCAAAAGACAGGCAGTTCTAGTGCAACAATGAATGAGTGGAAGCCCAAAATCTCTGTAAATGTTTATGAAAATTAATAAAATATAATTATAGGGAAAAAAAAGAAAAAAAAAAGACAGGCAGTTCGAATACACCAGCTGCTCCACAGGAGAAAATTGGGCAACAAACGCCCTCTCGTGCCGTTAAACTGCCTTTGAAAATCCACTGGAGGGTGAGCTATGCGTCAGTTCCCGCCCGTGGTTCATACAGGAAGTCCTAGTGGGACGGCCACGTCTTCTGACCTCGAGCCACTGACCTTTCTGTTTGAAAACTAAGTTTTGTTTTTTCACTTTTGTGATTTGAGTTTGCAAAGCTGACTGGGTCTCATTCAAGCGCTCGCACACATTCTGCCCTAGAGCATCGACATCCCCAGTGTAGCTACACTTTTCCACCCCCTCCCTGACTCTCATTTCCATCAGTCCTTCTATTCCACCCCTTCCTGCCTCCTGAGCTTTGTCCTTGGGCAAAAGCTGCACTTCCGACCTCATGTAGTTGTTTATTTCAATGAGCTCGTGCCTCCCTGGTGTTACCTGCCACCTTCCATGCCTCTTTCTGTCTGTCTGAAAGTTAAACCTTGGAGGGAGTTTTGTGCCAGGTTCAGAAGGTGACCAGTGAGGATAACTAGTAAAACACATATGGGAGCTCAAATCGGGGGCTAGGGGGCGATGGTGGGTCAAGGCGAGACCCCAGCGTTGCACAGTTTGGTGAGTAGAAGGAGGGAAAGAAGTAAGTGGGCAGGATTCAGGGGGAAAGGCATGGTAATGACAGGCAAGGCTCTGTGGTGATTAATGTCCTAAAACATAATGCATGAGAATGTTTGAAACAATGTGAATGAAGATTAGTGTGAAACACAGTGTGTGTGCAAACTTTGTGAGTAACAAATTTTAAAAAGTAAAAGTCACCAATGGCTTAGTCTTCACAGACCAATTCTTAACTCACTGCACCACCAGGTTGCCTTAGACTCTACTAAAGTGAAGCAGTTTTCCAGCCAAAAAAGCAGAAACCATCCAACTTGAACAAAGCAATATTCTGATAGAGAGGAACTCATTGTGGTGTGGAAACCATATAGCGATGAAAAGGAATGACCCCTCCTCCTCAGTGGCCAGGTCTGTCTTTCCCAGAGAGAAATGAGTGTGTCCAGCCACCAAAAAGACAAGTGCAAGATCCCACCTAGCAGTGACTCGTGGTAACCTCGCGGGTGTGGGACCCTAAGGAGATGACCGCAAGGTCCTGGTACTTAGTAGTCGTCATAAACATAGCACTGAGTTTCCTGGAAGCCAGAGCAAAAAGGAGATCCTGGAAATTACCAGGTTGCCCACTTGTTAAGAGGAAGAGCTTTGCTCACCACTCATCACGGGCACCTTGTCTGAGCACAGTGATGCTGACACCAGGCCACGTGCCGACGCGGGACGCCTCAGCCTGTGTTTGGAATCTCCCTCCACCCCAGGGTACCGGAAGCTACTAAAGGACATGGACGAGGGCCTCATCACTTCGGGGGACTCGTTCTACATCCGGCTGAACTTGAACATCTCCAGCCAGCTCGACGCCTGCTCTATGTCCCTCAAGTGTGACGACGTCGTGCATGTCCGAGACACCATGTACCAGGACCGGCACGAGTGGCTGTGTGCAAGGGTGGACCCCTTCACAGACCATGACTTGGACATGGGTACCATCCCCAGCTACAGCCGGTGAGGCCAGATTTGGGGGGGGCAGAAAGTGGGAGTCTGGGTGGAGGTGAGGCCAACCTGGGGGGGCAACAAGTGAGCGCCTAGGTGAAGATGAGCCCAGACCTGGGGAGCCCGCAAGTGGGGGCCTGGGTGGAGGCGAGCCCAGACCTGAGGAGCCCACGAGTGGGGACCTGGGCGAGCCCAGACCTGAGGAGCCCACGAGTGGGGGCCTGGGTGGAGGCGAGCCCAGACTTAGGTAGAGGCTGGAGTGCAGCCACGGTGTGCCAGAGGGAGTGTGATGGGGCCAGACGTTGGGATCAGACAGCAATCAGGGAGCTGAGCTTGAGGAGGGATGCAGCCAGGTCCCAGCTAAAGGATCCCACAGTGGGTGGGTGCTGGGGTGTTCAGTGAGGTGAATTTAGGGGACAGTGAGCAGCGTGCTGCGGGTATGGGGTGGAGGGGCATCTACAGGGGTTTCTCAGGGCCCAGGCCCCTGCGGGAGTGTCCGGGCAGCTGTAACAGGGAACAGCAAGGCCCTGCTCCTCTGCCCCCAGCGCCCAGCAACTCCTCCTGGTCAAGCTGCAGCGGCTGATGCACAAGGGTGGCCGAGAAGAGGTGGATGGTGCCCACCACACCCTGCGGACCCTACGGGTAGGTGCCCCCTGTGGAAAGGCCTTCCAGGTCGCTGTGGGAGGAGGTGGCACAGGGGCACCATTGCTGTCACTGGGAGGATGCTGTGTGGCTCCTACCAGGAAGGTCAGCAGTTCAGATCCACTGGCTGTCCTCTGGACAAAGGTGAAGCAGTCTGTTCCAGTGAGGATTTCCAGCCTCAGAAACCCTCCGAGAGCTTGAGTTAGAGTCAGCCTGATGGCCGTGGGTGTGCGGTTCCTCGGAAAGGCACCCTGGTGGTGCCATGGTCAGAGCATTAGGCGGCTAGCCCGAAGGGGCCTGTCTCACTCACGGCTCTCAGGTGGGACCCTCCAGAGGCTACTTAGAGGTGCAGACCACCCATCTTCCTCCTGCAGAGCAGCTGGGGGCATTCCAACCTCCTGCCTTGGGGTTGGCTATGCAACTCCTTGCTCCCTGAGCCACCAGAACTCCCCTGACAAAAGGTTGGCAGTTCAAACCCACTGGCTGCGTGCAGGAGGAAGATGTTCCTGTTCTAGAAATTCACAGCTTTGTGGACCTTGTGAGGCAGACAGCGGTCCTCAGGCCTGTGGGTCACTGTGAGGAGAATCCACTCAACAGCCGTGGGTCGGGTGGGTCAGTAGATTCCTCAGAAGGAGTCCTAGCTCAGTGGGTTAAGCATTGGGATCCTAACTGAAAGGTTGGTAGCTTGAACACACCAGTGTGAGAGGAGGATGGGATGGCTTGGTTCTAAAAAGATTCATAGCCTTGGAAACCTGACTGGGCTGGGGGTGGGGGGCAGCAATTCTGGTCTTTCCTGCAGGGTTGCTGGGAGCCAGGATGGACCTGGTGGTTAACAGTTAGGTGTGGGTTCCTGAAAAAGGTTCTAGAGTGACACAAGTGCTGGGTTAATGGTTCACACCCCCTAAAGGTACCTCAGAAGAAAGGACTGGCTGTATGCTGAAGTGTCAGCCCCCAGCGGCCATGGTGTACAGCTCTGCTCACACACGAGCTCACTTGAGCTTAGGGTCCTTGAGGAGTGGGACACTCCCTACACAAGGGGCACTTCCATGTCCAGCTCCTGAGCTTGGGTTTGAAGGAGATGGGGACAGATGAGCCACTATTTCCATCCCGACCAGAACATGAACACTGGTCTGTGGATTGGAAGCAGTCCCCTACCTCGGGTCTGGATGCCTGTCCCCAAAGCTAGGTTCCTCGTCCACACACGTGGATCCCATCATGGGCACATTTGCCCCTTCAGCACCAGGGGAATAGAAGGACTGACGTCCAGTGCTGAGGGGACTGTAGGGCAGGTGTCCAGCTCTGAGGGGATTGGAGAAGGGACAAGAGGGCTGGCGTCTGAATCTCAGAGGGTGAAGCAGCTCAGGCCTCCCGCTGAGCCCGGCCACTCTGACAGCTGACCCTCTGCTTCCAGAACACCCTGCAGCCCGAGGAGCCCCAAGCCACAAGTGACCCGCGCGTCAGCCCCCGGCTCTCACGAGCGAGCTTCCTCTTTGGCCAGCTCCTCCAGGTACAGCTCCTGAGTGCCCCCTGTGGGCAGTCACACGTGCTCCACCTGTCTTCTCTCCACAGGGAGGAGATGCCGCTGCAGGTTACAATGCTTTGTGTCTGCACCACCTGCAGCTCTCCCGGGCTGCACCTCTCCTCATTCTGTGCACACAGCAGCATCTCGGTAGACAACCCCTTCTGGCAGGTTTTGTTGTAAGAAAACCATGCTTTCTCACAAGATTTGAAGAAACATAAAGCTAACGGCAACTTAAGCAACACAGCTGTTAAAATAGGAACAGAAAAATTATAAAACAAATACACTAGACAGCGTTGAGGCCAGTTAAGTCCTTTAATTTGATCATGAAATTTACCTCTGAGTCTCTTGGAAGCCAAGAATAAAAAGGAAACCAGCATGTTCTGTAAATGTGTCTGAGCATGGGACTATTTTAACTACTAGGACCAGAAAAGCTTGCTTTTCTTTTGTCCTAAATTCCAAAAGAACCATTATACAAGGGTCCTCAGTACTATTATGTGTGGTATTGTTAGCATCCTCGGTGGCCCTTTCTGCTACCACCAGCTACTAAAAGCCAGGTGGATGTGTTTTCTGTGTAGGCATTGTATGGTTCAGACCCCAGGAGAACTGCTGAAAAGGAGCCCTGTTGCACAGTAAATTAAACACTGTGTTCCTAACAGGAAGGCCAGCAGTTTGAATCCATAAGATACCCCACTGGAGAAAGGTGAGGCATTCTGGTCCTGTAAAAGCTCCCTCCTGGGAAACCCTATGGGGCAGTTCTACCCTGTCTCCCAGGGTTGCTAGGAGTCAGATGCTCTTCACAGCAGTGCAGAGAAGTGTGGACAAGCTGTTAGGCAGACTCCTTCAGTGGTGCATCCAGTTACCATTCTCAGCTGCTCACCGAAAGGTCAGTGGTTTGAGGCCATGCAGAGGAGCCTCAGAAAAAAGGCCTGGCAATCCTCTCCCAAAAAGATCAGCCGCTGGAAATCTGAGGCTCACGTACAGTCCCGCACCAATTCACAGAATTAGAGTCACCTCAGCTAGCGGCTCATCACCAGAGGATGTGCCCTAGTGGGGCACAGCCTAGACTCTCTGGTCCTGGCTGCCCCAAGCCCCACAGCTCACCCGAGTGGAGCTGGGAATCAAGCTAACATTAGAAGCTGACACAGGGAGCTCTGGTGGCCTAGTGGCAAGAAGCTGCATTGCAATCCTAGAAGCTGACATAGGCTCCCTCTCCCCTGTCTCTCTGCAGTTTGTCAGCAGGTCTGAGAACAAATACAAGCGCATGAACAGCAATGAGCGGGTTCGCATCATCTCAGGGGGCCAGCTGGGGAGCCTGGGCCGGGCATCACTGGACATCACCAAGCTGCTGAGCGAAAAACAGGAAGGTGTGACTGTACCCCTTGTCCCTTGCGGCCCTGCACTCTCTGCACAACCTTGTCCTGAGCCACCCTGTATCGCGTGTGCACACAGTCTCCCCAGCCCATGCTGTCTTGGGCACACAGCTGCCTGTGCTCACCCTGTGCACACATAGCCCTCTGTGTTCCCCATGCGTACACATCCCCCCAAGTGCTGTCTTGTGCACACAGCCCCCATGCCAACCCTATGCGCACAGCCCCCATACGCACACTGTGCACACAGCCCCCAAGCCCACCCTGTGCACACAGCCCCCATACCTACCCTGTGGACACAACTCCCATGTCTGCCCTGTACACACAGCCCATATATCCACACTGTGCACACAGGCCCCATGTCCTCCCTCCCTGTGCACACAGCCCACATGCCCACACTGCGCACACGGCCCACATGCCCACACTGCACACACAGGCCCCATGCCCGCCCTATGCACACAGCCACCATACCCACACTGTGCACACAGCCACCATACCCACACTGTGCACACTGACCCTATGCAAACGGCCCACATGCCATCCCTGTGCACACAGCCCCCATACCCTCCCTGTGCACACGGCCCATATAACCACACTGTGCACACAACGTCTATGCCCATTCTCTGCACATGGCCCCATAGCTACCCTATGCGCACAGCCCCCAGGCCCTCCCTGTGCTCACAGCCTCTACTGTGGGACAGGCCCATGTATCTTATGACTGTAAAAGGAGCAAGACAGCATGAAAATGGCCAAATCTGACCTCTGCTACCTCTACAAGGGGAAACTGCCCCCAACAACAGCATCCACAACACAAAAGCAGACCCATGAGGTCTGAAACACTGTGAGAAAGGCCATGGTAGAACCCAGAATCCATGTGGGCATGGGCTGCTGGGAAATGGAGCCCACAGAATTGCTTGTGTCAAGTTGCCACAACCTGCCATTTGTTCTTTTTAAAAAGCTAAACCGTGCAGTATCTGTGAAGCACATAAAATGAGGTGTGCCTGTCACCCTCAGACCACCCGGCCAGGCCAGGGGCCTCCTGTCAGCTGCCTGGCTGTCCACAGACTCCTTCTCTCCTAGCCCTCTGTTCAATCCTCACCCACACCCAGAAGGGTGTCAAGGAGTGTAGTCCAGGCCAGCTCTTCACTGGAATAAGCCCAGGCCTCAGGCCACATCCTAAAGAGAAGCTTTGCCCTCTGGAATGATCTGTAGATGTGAACTTGGTCCCCATTTCTTGACCGATCCCTGAACCATGATTTCTGGATGAGAGATGAGGTCAATCCATCCTGTCTACTTATCCCGGACATGGGTCACTGCATATATATTTACCTGGGCCTCTGGGGCTCACTGTCATCACCAGAGTGTGATTGTTGTTCCTCTGCGAATATCCCCTATGTCCTGTCTGTCCTTTAACAGAATCTGACCACCACTCTCCCCTCTGCCCACAGACCCAGAGCCCGAGAGCGAGCTGAGCAGAAATCTCAGCCTTGTGCCCTACAGCCTAGTGCGTGCCTTCACCTGCACACGACGCCGGCCGGTGCTTTTCTCACCCTCCATGCTGGCCAAGACGCTAGTGCAGAAGCTGCTTAACTCAGGGGGCGCCATGGAGTTTACCATGTGCAAGCCAGGTGAGTGGGGCCCTTGCTCTCCACCACCACTGGGGGCGCCATGGAGTTCACCATGTGCAGACCTGGTTAATGTGGACTTGTTCCCTAATCCACCACTGTGGATTGATCTTTCCTGCTTCACTGCCTTCGCTCCCTATAGACATGCATGGGGGCAGGTAGAGTGGCCTCTGATACCTGGCTGCAAGGCCAGCATGAGTCATTAGCTGGGATCCCAGTCAGCACTGCAGCGACCTGGTGTCACTGGAGCCGTGATGGTGGGCGTGCCTGGCCCTCATGAAGGGAGCAGACAAGCCAGACCCCAGTTGCCTCTTGTCAGGACGACCTTTTCCTCTCCAGACGTCGTCACAAGAGACGAGTTCCTCAGGAAGCAGAAGACCGAGACCATCATCTACTCCCGAGAGAAGAACCCCAACACCTTCGAGTGCATCGTACCCACCAACATCGAGGCCGTGGCCGCAAAGGTGAGAGTGACAGATGGGGCTGTGATCGCAAACGTCCACCAGGCAGACTGACCACTTATAGGGAAACTGGGGATTGTGAGCACTGGTGTCTACTGGCAACCAAGAGGACCATGTGGCCCTGAGCCCTGACAGTGTCAGGTACCCCTGACTGCATCCACTGGTGGACAAGGAGTTCTGAGGACTTGTCTGGCCCCTCTCACTCCCTCTTCTCTGCTCTCTGCGCTACCCATGTGTACCTCGTGGTGACCTCTCCTCCCCAGCCCTGTGCCTGCCCTTTCTGGCTCCCAGTGTCACTCTGTGTCTTCAAGCAGCCTCTATTTCCATTGTCGTCCTGGTGCTGCTGCTGTTCTTGGCAGCTTTCAGAGCCCTGTGTGCCTGGCTATGCTGACATAGTCTAGAGATAGAGCGTATCAGTTGAGAAACAAGTGACCAGACAGCAGGACAGTGGCTATAAACAGGGAAAGTGGGTCATCAAAAGGTGTTAGCAGCGAGCACGAGAAAAAGCTGCCTATGCAGTTTCATCTTACAAAGCCAAACAGAGGGCAGTGGGGGATCAGAGGACTAGTTTTCACCTCCCGGGAATGCCAGTGTCTCAGTCACCCAGTGCTGCTGTCACAGACACCACAGTGCACTGTCTCAGTCACCCAGTGCTGCTGTCACAAACACCACACTGCACTTTCTCAGTCACCCAGTGCTGCTGTCACAGAGACATCACAGTGCACTGTCTCAGCCATCCAGTGCTGCTGTCACAGAGACACCACAGGGCACTGTCTCAGTCTCCCAGTGCTGCTGCCACAGACACACCACAGTGCACTGTCTCTGTCACCCAGTGCTGCTGTCACAGACACCACAGTGCACTGTCTCTGTCACCCAGTGCTGCTGTCACAGACACCACAGTGCACTGTCTCAGTCACCCAGTGCTGCTGTCACAGAGACACCACAGTGCACTGTCTCTGTCACCCAGTGCTGCTGTCACAGACACCACAGTGCACTGTCTCAGTCACCCAGTGCTTCTGTCACAGACACACCACAGTGCACTGTCTCTGTCACCCAGTGCTGCTGTCACAGACACACCACAGTGCACTGTCTCAGTCACCCAGTGCTGCTGTCACAGACACCACAGTGCACTGTCTCAGTAGACAAGTCAATGGCTTTAACAAGCAAAACTTTATCCTGTCATAGTTTAGGAGCCTGGAAGTCCAAATTCATGTGTCAGCTCACAAGGAGGGCTTTATGTCTCTGTCATCCCTTCTGCCTCCTGGTTCTTTGGAGATCTCCATGGATCTTACCATCAATCTTCCCTTCATCTAGAAGCTTCCCAGCACACTTACCCTGGATCTGAGGGACATGCTCTGCTCCCAGATCTCCTTTCTTAGTGGTACCAAGTTCCCTCTGGTCTCTGCTCCCTTCTTTTCTGAGTCCCATTTGAACCTCAGAAGAGATTGTCTCAGATATAGCCTTGTCTCAGATATAGCCTAATGTGGACTGAATCCTGTCTCTTTAATATCATGTTATCATTGTGAGGTGTTCTGGAGTCAACTTCCTCTCATAACAAGCCTCTGTGTACAGTAAAATGAAACACTGCCTGGTCCTCACAGCCTCACGATCTCTGTTGTGCTTAAACCCATGGTTGCAGCCACTGATTCAGTGCACGTCATTGGTGGTCATTGTCCAGAGACTGGCCCCTCCTGACCTCACACCTATACTATGAGATAAGTCTCTAGAGCATTCTGGCTACATTTCTTCTCAGATTTGCTTGTTCCTTTGGCTGTCCATGGTATGTTCTTCTCCAACCCCACAGTTCAAAAGCATCAGCTCTTCTGTCTTTCTTATTCATTGTCTAACTTTTGAAGTTGTATGAGGCAATTCAAAATACCATTGGTTGGTGCACCTTAGTCCTGAAAGTTACATCGTTGCTCTTAAGTATAGTAACATCACAGAGGAGAGGATTTATAGAACACCTAGAATGATCAAGTCAGATTACAGAATGGAAAATAACAGCAGTGAGAATCATGGCTGAGTCAAGTTGACACAGATTTGGGGAAACACAGCTCAGCTCACCCATCTGTCAGTGAAAGCTTGTGTTCTCTCCTACCAGGCTAATGGAATTTCTGCGTTTGCCCACTGGGAGGGACGAGGGCGGGCCGTGGTGGGCTGAGCTGGAGCTTCCTGATTACGAGGGACTTAGGGGGAGGGCAAAGTTGGAGCTTCTTGACTGGGCGGGAAGGACTGGGGGCGGGGATAAAACTGGAGCTTCCTGATTGGGAGGGACTAGGCCTGTGATGGGCGCAGTTGACAGGACTCTGCCCACAGAACAAGCATTGTTTGCTGGAAGCTGGGATTGGCTGCACAAGAGACCTCATCAAGTCCAACATCTACCCCATCGTGCTCTTTATCCGTGTATCTGAAAAGAATATCAAGCGCTTCAGGTAGGTCTCTGTGACCCCCTGAGCCAGAAGCCTAGAAGCTTCTCCCGTGACTTTTGCCCAGGGCACAGCCTCCACCCAGCTCCATAGCACCCAGTAGAGCAACTGTCTGCTGTTCCTTGCACCCCCTCTCTGATGTTTCCTTATCAGGCGTCCATTCAAGGGGATGCAGGAGCCATCATAGTAACAGAGACAGGACACGTAGTCATGGGGGACATACCACACAAGTGGTGACCATGAGCAGTGGCCACACGATTCCCACACCCTGCAGCAAGTGCAGTCAGGAGGGCAGTTGGGAAGGGCACAACAGGACCCAGCAGCAATTCGATCAGAGAGTAACGTGTGGGCTCTTGTCTAAGTGTCCTAGGGGTGCTGTACAAAACGCCACAAGCAGGATTTTGGTGTTTCAAACTTTCTATTCTGCTTTGAATTAAAGTTTGCAAAGCAAATAGATTTCCCAGTCATCCTTTTGTTTTATGATATTTATTGTAACCCCCACACTGTAACAGCACTCTTCCCCCTTCCTCTCTGTGATTTTCACTTCTGCCCATGCTTTCTTATTCCTTCTTGCCAACAGAGCTTTTTCTCTGGGCAGATGCTGCCCTTTTGCTCTTGTGTGGTTGATTTTCTCAGAAATTAGTGCCTCCCTGGAGTTACTGTTTAGAGTCTATCACCCTAACAAGGTCTCTTGAACAGACATGGGGATGTCTTAGGACCGCTGTACCAAAAATACCACGAGGGAGTGGCTTTAACAAATAGATTTGTTCTCTCACAGTTTGGAGGCTGCAGTCTGACAGCAGGGCACCAGCTTTCCCTGATGTTTCCTGGGTCTAGGAGGTTCCCAGCACATGGACCGTGGTCTGTAGGACATGCTCTGACCCTGGTTCCTCTTTGTTGATGGTAGTAGCTGGCTCACTTTATCCTTCTGTCTCTGTACATTTAAGCTATACAGGCCACATTCCAGGGAAACCCTCTTTGTATCTGATTAAGGGTCTGGCATCTCACCCCACCCCTAACGCTGACCATGGAGGATGGTTACACCATTGCCAAAGTACAGAGCCACTGAGAAGTGTGACCCAGACAAACTGACACATTTAAGGGGATACATTTCCATCCATAAAGGGGAGTAGGACTTTTCCATGTCTTCCTGGGTTACAGGTCACTCCATTGCAGCCATGGTGAGGACTTTGAAATCAACAGAATAGGCAGCCACTGAGGGTCTTTAGGGAGAAAGCATATCGTCTGACTTGGGGTCTACAGGGGCTCCCTCTCACTGCCATGCTGAGGAGGATTCACAGCTGTCCTGGCAAGGGGCAGAGTGGCAAAGATGGAACTGTGTGAGAGATGACAAACATCCTGGGGCTAGAACCATCTCGGAGGGTGAGCCTGTGGGGTGGTCAGAGCACTGGCTGCAGGGTTCAGAAGAGGGAGCGAGGAGTGACTCCAACTTTGGGGCCCAACCTCTGACTCCCTAAAGGGGAGTCAAATGCCCCCCAGAATTTCCACCATAAGCAGAGTGAGCAAGCGGTGTGCAGTGATGTTAGCAGGCATGGCGAGAGGGATGAGGGTGGGAAGTGGGGTGGCCGTGGGCAGGTGACAGGCAGGTCTGGGTGAGAGCACAGCGTTCATGCCTCTTCTCCGGCCACACCCGTGTCTGTCCACTGCTTGCCCACAGGAAGCTGCTTCCCCGGCTGGAGACGGAGGAGGATTTCCTGCGTCTGTGCCGGCTGAAGGAGCGGGAGCTGGAGGCGCTGCCCTGTCTGTACGCCACTGTGGAGGCTGACATGTGGGGCGGGGTGGAGGAGCTCCTCCGGGTCATCAAGGACAAGATCAGCGAGGAGCAGCGCAAGACCGTGTGGGTGGATGAGGACCAGCTGTGAGGCTGCAGGGGCTGTGAGAGGCACATCGACCCAGGTGCTGGAGTCAGGTGCTGCTGTGGGGAGAGACTCAGGAGTCGTGGCTCCATCCCAGCCTCCCCGGCTGAGTCGTTCAGCCTGGCCAGCATCCACTGGGAGACGGTCGGCCAGGGGACACTCACCAGAGCTTCAGCCTGGGAGCCCCTGTCAGTCCAGGACAGCAGTTGAATGTAATGCATGGCACAGTGCACCACCTGGATGAGTGCAGAATGGGTGCATCATCTGGACCAGGTGTGGGGAGGTATGCTCTCCAGACAGGTGTGAGGCAGCTATACCACCTGGACAGGTGCAGGGCAGGTACACTACCTGGACAGGTGTGAGACAGCTGTGCTACCTAAACAGGTGAGCACCAAGCACATTCCTCTCTGAGGTTGGGGACATTGTGCTGTGCTGGTGATTTTCTTGCATTAAAGTGCTCCTTATTCCTTGGTCTGTGGCCATTGTGTCTAACAGTGCAAGAGTCTCTGGTCCTGTGCTTCCCCCACCCCCTGCCCAGGAAGCTCCCCAGTGAGCTTAGTTAAGGCCCAGGGAGGGCACACCCAGGCCTTGTGAACCTAGTCAGGGTCCGGGGGGCCCAGCACAGATCTAGCTGGCGGCTAATTTGGGGCACTGTTTCTACCAGCATCCCTTCTGACTGAGATGGGTCCTCACTTGGACAGTTACTGAGTCTCCCAGGAAGGGCCAGCCTTCCAGAAGCCGCAGGGCAGCCTTGAGTGTCCCCTATCCACTGGCCCTGTGCCCCCCACCTGCAGCCCAAGCCCTGTGCCCCACATTCTCTGCACTGTCCTCCAACTCCTCATGTGTCCTACAGCCCAGCCTCATGTCCTATCCAGAGCATGATGGGAAGGGAGGTACCCAGCTCCCTATTTCCCAGGAGTGGGCTGTGAGACAGCTCAGGCTCTGAGCACAGAGCAGGGGTCACCTGGACCCCAGCCCCTTTTGTTGTCCCTCTCAACCCCAAAAGGTGACACAGCATGGCAGGTATGGACACACCCACCAGGGCCAGCTAAGCCCTGGAGAGATGCCACACTGGATCCAGAGGCTTGGAAGTTTGGGACAGAACCCCAGGTCTGTCTCATGGGCACTGAGGAAGCTGCTGCTGGCTGACAGCTCAGTGTCCCTCCTCCCTTTCTTCCTGCCAGAATCCTGATTTTAGTTGGGAGAACTACATGAATGGCTCAAAGACCGTATTTCCACCTCCCTTGCTGCTCGGATTACAAAGGAATAAACTTGAGAACTTATTTCATTAGCATCAGAGGGAACAAGCAGTGAGTCCTCTGCTTCCCTGCCTGGATGCTGACGTGATGGCTGGAAGTGCAGCAGCCATAATGGATCTGAGGACTCCCTCCACTAACATAGGACAGTGGAGCAGACAGACAGATGAAGTCACAGTCCCTCAAGACTCCTTGAAGCTCAGAATGCTGCTTCATTTTCCTTGTCATGTAACAGAAATAAATGAGTATCCATAAATTGGTTTTAAGTTGGGTTTCTTTCAGGATTCAGTTACAGTCTCCTCCTATATGATTTACAGTCTCTGTTGTTGGGGGGTCAACTATGACCTGCTGGAGGGTCAGTTCCGACTTGATGGCGATGAGTTCTTGAGTTTTATATAAATGGAGCATCGTTAGACCTGGAGTCCCCATGAGGGAAAGTTGACTTCACAGCAACAATATACAAACAACACTCTTCCTGCTGGTCACAGTTCCATGGGCACGAGTCGATGTCCTCTAAGGCTCCTGCCATATCTTTCAGATACAGATTATTACTAGAAGAGCTGCATTGCTCTCATCCTAGAAAAAAAAAAGGTTCTTTGTGGCAGGGAAGGGAGCTCTGCAGTCTAGAGGTAAGGAACTGCACAGCCAACCCACAGGTGGGTGGTTCAAATCCACCAGCTGCTCTGTGGAAGAAAGATGGACCATCTCATTCTGTGTATTTACAGAATTGGCTCTGAGAAGCCACTGGAAGGCCAGCTGCGTGGGTTCCAGGAGGCTGGAGGAGTGAGGGAGCGCTAGCAGAGGGCACCCAGCTCTCGGGCAGACAGCCACATGTCCACGCGTATGTCCACTCTCTGGGCAGAATATGCAGCCTCTCGGGTCCCAGCCCGTCCTGTCATCTCACGAAGATCAGACCCATTCAGGATGGTGGGCAGCTTAACTGTCAGGACCTGAGGCGACCACCACGCTTACACCATGGGTGGCTGCCCAAGATGGCTGAGGGACTCCCCTGGGGAGATTTCTGTGAACCCTGGTATCAGCTGCTGCACTCCACTCTGCCTTGTTCTCTGGAAACCCTTCTCTCTGGTCCCACTCACTCTACTCAGCTGGGCCCCTCCCTCACCTATATTTTTCTAGGGCAGTTCTACAGGGTCAACAGGGAGGCCTGGATGAACTAAGAAGGAGCCCCAGCCCCCCTTCTCCAGTCCCTGCTTACCCAGCATGCTCTGCAGGCTTCATGACCCTGCCCTTTCTGTTTCCAAAATGTTAGAATGATGTGACCTTGTTGAGTCATCTAGTGCTGCCAAAACAGAGACACCACAAGTGAATGGCTTTAACAGAAAATATCTAATTCTTCCCTTGCCACTGAGGTGCCTGGAAGGTCATATTCAGGGTCCTGCCCCAGGGCCTAGATGGTTTTCTCTCTGGGCTTCCTGTTTCTAGGAGGTTCCCAGAGCAAGCCCCCCACCCCAGGTGGAAAGGGTGCACTGCACTCCTGGTTTTCTTTCTTGATGATGCTGAGGTCCCCACACACTAAGCCCTCTTATCTCCACTTGTAAGACATTAGTTGATGCAGGTCCACCCTGACCCAGGAAGCCCTTCATCATTCAGGCTGACCACAGCCAGTGGCAGCTCAGGCAGTGACTACACCCTCGCATGTGTGCCACTTCAGCCAGTCAGTGCCAACACTGAGAACCATGCCCAGCCAGCTGGCACAGGTCTGGGGGGATGCAGCTCAACCCATGGCATTCCAGATCCCCAAGACAGCGTAGTGATGGGCAAGGTCCAGTGGTGGTTAACTTTATAAAACGATGCATGCGAATGATTGTATGAAACACAATGTGAATGGAGAATAGTGTGAAACACAATGTATACGAACTTCGCAAGCACACCAGTTTTGTTTGTTTGTTTTTTTGGGTTTTTTTATTTTTGCAGTTCGATGCTTCTTTATTCTGGTGATTCAAAAAGCTCGCACACCAGTTTTTAAAAAGTCATGAGATCTGATGAAATGGTGGTAGTTTGAGGCCACCAAGCTCAAGGTCACTTGTTACACAGTAGTGGCCACCTGGGACAGTAGTGCAGGGAAGAAAGCACTCCCCCTCCTCCTGGGACAGCCAGGCCACCAAGCTGAGCCTGGACAAGCCAGGGACTTGCTGTGCACCTCAGCATGCAGCCACCACCCCGAGTTCCTTCTGTTTAGTAGGAAGGACTTGTGAGCTCACACACACACACGAGGTTGTGTTTCACAGTGAAGAGGGAAAGATGCAGGCTAACATTAGCTGCTGAGGGACCCAGGTCTCACCCCCTCCTCTGGCCTGGACAGATCTGAAACCCAGGTGCTGGGGGGCGTGGGGAATGGCAGGTAAGTGCCCTCGCTGGCTGGCTGACTAGAAATGCAGCTCTTCAGGAATGAACAGGCACATGACACAAGCAAGCTAACAAGGGAAGATGGAGAAGAGACACCAAGTCACAAGCGCTGGCCCCGGAGCAGAAGCTCGGAAGAAACAAGACCTTCCTGCAGAGCTGATGAGGGGAAAGCCAGCTCTGAGTTCTGGCTTCAGCCCTCTAAACCGCTGAGGCTGCTCCTAGAGGCAAAGATAGCGAAACACCATCTCACACATTGTGGTCACATTGTCAGGAGGGACCAGTCCATGGAAAAATACCTCACACTGGGGTAGATGGAAGATGAGCAGAGAAGAGGAGGAGTGTGGCATTAGGACTGGAGGAAGACGCATCAACAACTTGCATTATGCAGATGGCATGACCCTGCTTGCTGAAAGTGAGGAAGATCTTAAGCATTTGCTACATAAGGTCAAGGACTGCAGCCTTCAAAATGGATTAAAGCTGGGCCAATTAGCAGCATCATGATAGATGATGACGAGATTGAGACTGTTAACAGCCTATTTTGCTTGGCTCCACAATCAACACTCTTGGTTCCAGCAGCCAGGAACAAAAGATGAATTTCATTGGGGAAGTCTGCTGTCAGGGACCTCTCCAGAGTACGGAAGGGCAACAGTGTCTCTCTGGAGACTAAGGTACACCTGATCCAGGTCATGGTCTTCACAGTTACATGCTATGTCTCAGAAAGCTAGACAACGACTACGGTTGTTAGAAGAACTGAAGCCTTTGAGTGAGCTGTGGTGCTGGAGAAGAGTATTGAATATACCATGGGCTGCCAGGAAAACAAGCAGGTTCGTCTTAGGATGAGACCAGGCTGCTCCTTGGAGACAAGGATTCTGAAGCTTCGTCTGACATACTTTGGGCATGTTGCAAGGAGGGATCAGACCTTGGAGAGGAACATCATGCTTGGGAGAGTGGAGGGACCGCACAAGAAAGGAAGACCCTCAAAGAGATGGATTGACTCAGTGACTAGGGTAATGGGGATAGGTGTGTCAGAGACAATGAGGTTGTCTCAGGATAGAGCAGGGTTCAGGGCTGTTGTACATATGAGTGCTATTAGTCGCAGGCAACCTGACGGCACATAACAACAACATTAGTTCACAGACAGGTGGAGTGGATTATAAAAATCCAATTACTTCTAAGTTATAAAAAGCAGGTTAAAATCCAAGATGATGCCCAGTGTCCAGCTCTCAGATCAGACTGTTGTAATCTGTATGGTTTTCATTGGCTTGCTTTAGAAGTAGATCCCCAGCCCTTTCTCCCTAGTCTGTCTTAGGACATGCTGCTGAAATCTGTTCAGCATCATAGCGGTACCATTGCCTACAATCCAAGGGACCCCTGGAGCTTCCA